GTCTACCTTGCTTGCCTCCAACAGGTAACCGACATTGGTCAAGAGGCTATACGAGATCCCGTCCAGGACGCGCTTTCTGTTTCTGAAATTGAAGAAAGGGTAAGTTTATATGATATGCACAACGATCCATCTTTCAATCTATTTCCACCTTTTGTAGGATTTATACACGGGGCCGATTACACAAAATCTCCTTGTTTACCACCTGTGAGCCAACATTCGCCCCCATTTCCCCTTCTATATCTAACGCCCTTGTAGCAACAGATTTGCTCTAGCAGCTCGCGTGGAAGATTTCAATGCCAAAGACGTCACCTCGCCAGAGAAGGAGCGAACCCTCATCCTTTTATCTGCCTTCATAAATTTCGTCAAATTCACGGAACAGTACTGCAACCCATTCGTAAAGGACCTTCGAGATCGCTCAGAAGGTATGATAGTCGAGAGAGGTAGAGTGTCGGAATCGCTTGCGCAAATCGAGCAAACAATAGGCGCTCTAAAGTTCGTTTACTCTAAATTCTTGTTGAAAATTCCCTCTTCCCTATATTTTCTACAGGGCCAAAATCGCTGAAGATGAACCACGTTGTGAACAATTACGGAGCCAAAACAGTGCTCTACGTGCGAAAATGATTGCGACCAAGGAATTTCAAACCACCGCTGTACAAGAAGTCGAGAAGTTGAAAGCGGAGAAAAATGCACTTGTCAAACGCAAGGTAAGGCTATCTTTGTATCCGGACATCTATCCATATTCACGAGATAATCACGATAGGAAACCCTGAACAACGAAATCGCGAGGATTCAAGATACCATGGTTCGAACTCGCTCGAGGATAGTCCAGTCTCCTGAACGCATCAAACGCACCATAGTGGTGATGAACACGACCGCAATTGACGATAAAAGAACGTTGACGATACAGGAAGTCAAAGCACGCGATCTTCAAACCAAAGTTAATGCACTATTGAACATCGAAAAGGTACTCTGACTCCTTCATGTAGTGGGCAGAACACCTGACGAGAGATCCCAGGATGTGACCGGGTGCATAGAACAGCTCCATGTCATAGGAAAAGAAGTTCAAACTCTTCACGACGCTCAGAAAGAGCTATCAGACCTTCGAGACAGGCTTGACAGGAAGAAGATCGAGAGGAATGAGCTCAAACTACGACAAGAGGTGGGAAAATTTATTTCTCTTTCCAGCTCCACTGACCGAAATACGGAGCAGCGTGTGGAGAAACAACGCTCCAATGCGCAGGAGAAACTGGAGAGAGCACAGCGTCATGCAGAGGAAAGAAAACAGGCAAGTCAACGTACCACTGAACGTCTTCAACAAGAGTATGATCAAATGGCGATTGAACGCCGCGATAACGACAAACAAGTCGAGGAACTTCGAGGAGAAGCTAATGAGATCGAGAAAAAGGTATGTTCCTACTATCTCATTATTTACAAACTTGATATAGCTGTGTTCGTAGATGAATGAACAGGTCAAGAAAGGCGAAGCAGAGCTCAACGAACTGCTTGCTGAATACTGGAAACTTCGACACGAGACTGGTAAATATATATATTTTTAATTTGCTCCAACTAAAGGTTCATTTCTGCGATAGACGTGTACATGGAAACGCTTGCCAATAAGCTCAATATGAAAGTCACTTCTGACTAAATGTTGTTGCTTCATCTTTCGATCCATTGGCAGCATTCAGCTCTGGGCCAACTAGGACTCCGAGTATCAGGATACTTCTTGGAACGCGGACGAGATGTATCTGCCGTTGTTGCCGGGTAGTGAAGACAAGGGTTTGGACTGTGCTCTTGAGGAGCCAATACGGACTTGATGCACGCCAAGACGAGATGTGGGTGGTGATTGCAAGCTGTTTTTACAGTTCGCAACGATACCTAATTATAAAGAGTTATGGAAGAAGAGCAGATACCCAACTTTTTTTTCAAATGCTAGTAGTAGTACTGTAACAGGTCGAATAAAGATATACACGTGCGGAAACGATCCTAGAAACTGAGTCCCAAAAGCTGGATGAGCTCTTACTCCTTCTTATCTTTATCTCTAGAGCCCCACACAATTTCTTCCACATGTTTCTTGCGTCCGCGCCAGGCAAGGACAAGTCCTTTCTCCCAGGTGCGTAGGGGGCTAAACATGCCGACGCGTTCCTGATACGCCTTGTATTCCTTTGGGTACTTGCCAGCGCTGATAGATTCTGTAAAAAGCGTAGACGAGAAGAAAAGCAATGAGAGGGCAAGGGCGGGTAAAAGGTCATTGACGGGGCCACTGAGATGGGAGATGAGAGGATAAAGTGTGTAGGGGAAGCCGTGTAGGATTGCGGATAAAGAGGGCACGAGATGCCATGGAAAAGGGATATAGAGTGGGTTTTGCCTCGAAAGGAGGGGCATGAGGGTAATAATCCACTATTGGTGGCAATCTATGAGCAATGCAATGAAAATCTGAAACCGAGAACATTTACGCACCCAGAAAGATTGTTCGCAGAGAAAGTTGGGGTGACGCGAGTATGCCCAAAGGCCGCGAGTTATGAAACCGCGTTTGGCATCAGCAGGAGTGAAATCCAGACGAGCACCCAACCATTGGTTCAATTTGTCATAAGGCTCGACCTTCGATGTTCCCTTTTCCTTTTCTGAGGCAAGATAGGCGTGTTTATACTGATGGAATGCCCACTGCTGGTTGTCTGAAGTAAATTCAAAGGCAAGGTCAATCAGAGCCAGCGTAGCGAGGATGTAGTCTGATGCCACGAGCGATGTATGTGGTTGAAGTGTGGACGCGGTTTTGGTTGGGATGCCAAGGAGGAGGAGTAGAACGTTTTGAGTCGCGGCGATAAACGTGAGGTTAATGACTTGGAAGAGAAATGGCGACACTTTTGAGCGTAGAACGGCCCAGCGGTAATCCTCATCTTGCCTAAGAAAGATATGAGACATGCCTGCAATTCATATAGGAGCGGTCTTACAGCTTAAAAAGGCCACGGCGGTAGGTATTGTACGATAGTCTGGTAGAAGATTAAGATCAAAAGACTGGCAAGGTGTGCAGAGGACTACAAACCTAAGCATCCAGACAAAGATGAGCACAAGCATTAAGACTGCGCGAGGACTGAAGTCTCTTGCTGCAGCCCATCCAAGGCTCTTAGGCATGAATGGACAGAGAAAGAACAGTGGATCAAGAGGCCATAGAGGAAGAAGAGCGTAGTAAGCTGAATAGATGAAAGGCAAGAATGTCCAAAGTCGATCGACTTGGGAAACATTGGAGGTGATGAGAGACGCGACCCAGGTCACAAGCGTCATGGCGATACAGAACTGTGCTGGCCATTGATAACCGGGAGGAATGGTGTCGAAGAGGTCTTTGAGGTTGTCCATGATGTGTTCAGCAACAAGCAACAAGACGCGGTCGTCATTGGGGTGATGAAATGATCGGCACGTGAGATTTCAAAGCAATAAAACTAAAGGGCTACAGGTCTATAAAAACTGGTATACACTCGAGAGAGATATCTATAAAGTGCCCATATTAAACACTCATCTTCATCGCAATAGCAGGATGCGATTCATAGCCCTCAACCACAAAATCACTGTAAACAAACTCCTCGATATCACTTATACCCTCTCTTGCCCATCGCAATTTAGGGAAAGGCTTGGGCTCTCGTTTAAGTTGTTCTTCTAGAGCCTCAACGTGGTCTCGGTATACGTGCGCATCGCCGAGTTGAATGATGAGTTCGTGAGCGTCGGTTCGAGTAACGTGAGCCATCATATGCGTTAAAAGTGCGTAAGATGCAATGTTAAAGGGTATCCCAAGACCCAAGTCAGCAGAGCGCTGATACATGAGGCAGGACAGTTTAGGTTTTGCTTCCGGTGTTGCAGCTGGGGGAAGATGAACGTAGAATTGGCAGATCATATGGCAAGGAGGAAGAGCCATCTGTGGGATATCTAAATGCGAGCTTTGAGACGAGATCTCAATGTTGTTCTGTTCGTCGCGTACCTTTGGGATTCCAAGCACTGAGTATTATACGACGATCTGTAGGGTTGTCCTTGATCTTCTTTATACACTCTCTCAATTGATCAACACCTTCGCCAGTGTAGTCCTTGTCACAGTCCACGTATTCAGCACCAAAGTGTCTCCATTGGAAGCCGTAGACGGGACCCAAATCACCCTCACGACGGTGCTGAAGGCCTCTTTTGTCCAAAAACTCGCGCGAACCGTTTCCATCCCATATTTTGACGCCCTTTTTGGAAAGGAGTGTCGAGTCTGTTGATCCATGGACAAACCATAACAGCTCTTCAATTATTCCACGTTGGAAGGTTCGCTTTGTTGTCAGCAATGGGAGCGTTGAGTCGGCAAGAGAGAAACGAAGGGATGGTGGAGCAAATATTGATATTGTGCCGGTTCCTGTGCGATCTGGACGCGTGTCTCCCGAGTCGAGAACGCGTCGAATAAGCTGAAGATATTGGTGTTCTTCGTGCTCGGTCGTCGTCTGCCCGACGGGTGCGCGTTCTTCGGTATGGGGGGCAATGATGGTCATGGTGTTGGTGAGAAGAGGATGCGATCAAAAAATATGCTCATAACAGAAATAAGAAATAAAGTTAAAAAGAACCGCCGATGGGGATCGAACCCACAACCTCTGCCTAGCTATTAATAGGAAAGCAACGCACTACCATTGTGCTACGGCGGCTTGGCTTCCAGATTCAGCAGAATTTGAAACATTCGTCTGTATCTCTCATAGTAGAACTGGCGATTTTCATTCGAACATACGATATCTCAAGTACGGCTTAATATGTTAAATCGAAGCCTATAATTATTCAGGGTTGACTTGCTCCAACCTAAGCGGCAGCTGGGGAATCTCAGGAGATTCCTTGAGAGCAGGGCTGGTGATACCATTCATCTGCCACACGATTTCCTTGCTTGGAGGGAAGAACCGGAATTGTGAGATAAGACTGGATAGTACAACCTCTAGGAAAATAGATAAACATCATACAGGCAGACTCAAAAGGTCTGGTGACTTACTCATTTCCAATTGCGAGAACTTAAATCCGATGCATGCTCGTCCACCACCAGAAAATGTCAAGCTAAGCAGAAGTGCATAATCTGAATCAGTGACTGGTAATATATAGTTCCATATGCACTGACAGATGCGAATAAATTCCAGGCATGTGGGCCTCGTATACAGCTTCTGGTAGAGGCGCAAGCCATCGCTCTGGCTTCCACTCCAAGGAATCAGCCCCCCACAAGGTAGGGTCCCGATTAGCGCTCAGAATGTCCACAAAGATCTTTGTATCCTTTGGAACGAGGACAGAGGATACTTCGCGACCATCAATTGCCTTGATGGGTGCTGAAAACGGTAGCAGAACATCTTGTCTGGCGCTGTTACAAATGTTATTGTCAGCGTCCGGTAAATTCCACTAGGTGATATGGCGGTCGCTTACGCTCTGAGAATTCTGGGTACGGGTGAATGACTAAGATTGTGGTTTGAGCATATCAAGCATTGAATTATGGAGGACCCACAGGCGCAAAGTTTCCCGGCACACTGCATCCATAAACGGTAGTGATACCAATTC